CTTCCCTTGTGTCCTCAGTCCTTCTCGTGTTCCTCAGTTCTTTCCCTTGTGTCCTCAGTTCTTCCCTTGTGTCCTCAGTTCTTCCCTTGTGTCCTCAGTCCTTCTCTCTATGTCCTCACTCCTTCCCTTGTGTCCTCAGTCCTCTCTCTCCATCCTCAGTCCTTCTCTCTATGTCCTTAGTCCTTCTCTCGTGTCCTCAGTCTTTCCCTCGTGTCCTCAGTCCTTCCCTTGTGTCCTCAGTCCTCTCTCGTTCGTGTCCTCAGTTCTTCCCTTGTGTCCTCAGTCCTTCTCTCTCCATCCTCAGTCCTTCTCTCTATGTCCTCAGTCCTTCCCTCGTGTCCTCAGTCCCTCTCTCTTCATCCTCAGTCCCTCTCTCTTCATCCTCAGTCCCTCTCTCTTCATCCTCAGTCCTTCTCTCTATGTCCTCAGTCCTTCTCTCGTGTCCTCAGGTCTTCCCTCGTGTCCTCAGTCCTTCTCTCGTGTCCTCAGTTCTTATCTTGTGGTCCTCAGTCCTTTCTGTGTGACCTCACTCCTTCCCTCGTGTCCTCAGTCCCTCTCTCTATGTCCTCAGTCCTTCTCTCTTGTCCTCAGTTCTTCCCTTGGTGTGTCCTCAGTCCCTCTCTCTCATCCTCAGTCTTCTCTCTATGTCCTCACTCCTTCTCTCGTGTCCTCAGTTCTCCCTTGTGTCCTCAGTCCTTTCTGTATGACCTCACGCCTTCGCTCATGTCCTCAGTACCTCCCTCTCCATCCTCAGTCCTTCTCTCTATGTCCTCAGTCCTTTTCTCTCTATGTCCTCAGTCCTTCTCTCGTCGTCTGTGTTTCTGCTTCCTGATTGGTTGTGATGTTGGATCAGTCTGCATGATGTAAGGACAGCATGTCAGTTCAGACGCAGACGTTGTTGGACTTTCCCTTCAGGGAGAGACGACACAAGTCGTTCTGCAGACCCCCCCTCTTCTAGACTTTTTTGTCTTTCCGTACAGGCCGAGATCCTGGGGCCAAAACCTGATCATTGGACATTTGTCTGACGGTCAGAGACGATTAAAAAACAAATACAGGATATCCGATTTAAATAAAAGACAACCTTACATTCAGACGTGATGATCAGGTTCCCATGATCTGGGTCTCTCTCTCTCTCTCCCTCTCTCTCTCTCTCTCTCTCTCTCTCTCTCTCTCTTTCTCTGTCTCTCTCTCTCTCTCTCTGTCTCTCGCTCTCTGTCTCTCTCTCTCTGTCTCTCTGTCTGTCTCTCTCTCTCTGTCTCTCTCTCTCTCCCTCTCTCTCTCTCTCTCTCTCTCTCTCTCTCTCTGTCTCTCTCTCTCTGTCTCTCTGGCTCTTTCTCTGTCTCTCTCTCTCTCTCTCTCTCTCTCTCTCTCTGTCTCTGTCTCTCTGTCTCTCTCCTCTGTCTCTCTGTCTGTCTCTCTCTCTCTGTCTCTCTCTCTCTCTCTGTCTCTCGCTCTCTGTCTCTCTGTCTGTCTCTCTCTCTCTGTCTCTCTCTCCCTCTCTCTCTCTCTCTCTCTCTGTCTCTCGTTCTCTGTCTCCTCTGGCTCTCTCTTCTGTCTCTCTCTCTCTCATCTCTCTCGCTCTCTGTCTCTCTCTCTCTGTCTCTCTCTCTGTCTCTCTCTCTCTCTCTCTCTCTGTCTCTCTCTCTCTCTCTCTCTCTCTCTCTCTCTGTCTCTCGTTCTCTGTCTCTCTGGCTCTCTCTCTGTCTCTCTCTCTGTCTCTCTCTCTGTCTCGTCGCTCTCTGTCTCTCTCTCTGTCTCTCTGTCTCTTCTGGCTCTCTCTCTGTCTCTCACTCTCTCTCTCCCTCTCTCTCTCTCTCTCTCTCTCTCTCTTCTCTCGTCCAGACAAAGGAAACTCTTTTACAAACGACACCATAAAACCATCAGAGCGTCCTCCGGCCTCCCCTCCCTCATGTCCACCACAGCCCGTCCTGCAGACACCACAGCCTCCCCCATCCTTAAACTAACCTCGGGGATGACTCACATCAGGGACAGACTACTAATGTGCCCGAGATGACCTTTAACCCTGCCGGTAATTCAAACCTTCACTTTCCCTTTTCTGATTACACGTCCACACGACCACACGAGAACTTCAGAACCTTTTACTGTGACTCTCAGAGAAAGAAGAGTGTCGTCTGCAAACTGCTCAAGTCTAAATGTCTAATCCAAGAGAATCTGTGCTCAGCGTGCAGTAATGATCACATGCTCAGATACTTCTCAAAGGTTTCTCTTCTGAACTTCAGGACATCATTACTCTTTTTGATCGGACGCACTGACGTCCTTCTCGTCCAACTTGTCATGTTAAACCTTCTTTTTCCCATGCAGCTTTCGTCCAATCACAGGATGAATCATCCCTGCTGAGATCGGCTCAGGCCAATGAGAGAGCCCAAACTAACCTCTGGGGTAATACTGACCTCCTGGTTTTCAGAGGCACTCTTTGCTTTTTGTCTGTTTGCCGTCCATGAGCCTCCTCTTGTCCCCACCAGCTTCCTGATAAATGTGCCCTGATGTTTCTGTCCACAGGATTGGCTGCTCGCTGCAGGAGTTTGTAAACACATTTCATCCAACATGGCGTCTAACGTCTGCATGCAGCACACAATCTGACAGTTCATAAACATGACTGTGGTTTGTGAAGATTGTGACTCCTGTTGTTTTTTAGAGTGTACAGTGAATGTCCATCAGAGTCGTCCATCACTAACATCACCGCTCCCCGCTGCTGCGTGCTCGCTTCACTCTAAACTTTCCATCAAAGCGACGTCAGCTTGTAACAGCCCTGCTACTCTTTTTGGTCTTTTAGGTCAGGACAGCAATCGGTCTCCTGCGCTGACTTTTCAGACCTACCAAACCCGGCAGCTCCCTGCTGGTCAGATCCATGAGGCCTGCGTCCAGGAACCCTCTGTTCCCCTTCTCTAACAGACACCCCCCTCCCCTCTAGAGCCAGTACCTCAGCTCACAGCTCGGGGATACTCGGGGGTAATCCTCCCTGTTCCTGTCTCTAGTCTGTCCTTCACACCGCTGTCTTTTAAAAGTCATTTGGACGTTGGACAATGTAAACAACCGACCTGCAACAACGAGCATCAGAGAAACCGACTAAAGAGGACTTGACTTGTTGGTTATCTCAGCGGTTGCTCTTGTTGACCTCTATCCTAAATGCTGATTTATTTAGATCATAAACAGTAAAGAGTTATTTTTAGGTTTGATCTACTATATCAGCTGACAAGATCCCAAAAAACACTGACATAGAACCCAAAATACCACTTCAGTATTCAAGCTTTAATTAACTTTTAACTCTCTGTGATCAATAATGACTATTTTAAAAGAGGACATATTCTGAATAATCCACTTCTACAGTGTTTCTGAACATAGATCTGAGTAACCTGAGTGTCTACTGACCCACAACATGTGAAATAAACCCATCCAGTCCTTTGTGACTACACAGAGAAAGCATTACATGAAACACTCTGATTGGTCCTGCAGGTCACCTGGATCCTGGTTTTGTATTTTAGTCCAACAGGTTGAATATTCCTCTGAGTTTCACGTCTGTTTGTTTTACGTCTTTATTCTGCTGACGTTTGGTGAGCTGATCAGTGGAACAACCTCTCGTGTCCGTTTGTCTGACAGGAAACACTCTCCGTCTTTAAGAATGAGTCACTTTACAATCTGAAAACCTAAACCCTACTGACGTCCAACTTCACTGCAGACGCTTTGTGATTGGTTCAGTTCGTTGTCAGTTACACACCGTTTCATCTCCACATCTCAAAGTGTTCAGACTTTAAAGAGGTCGTTCTGAAGAACAGCAGACTGGTTCAGACGGCGTTGGTTTCTGGAGCAGGAAGTGAGAGGTTGTTCTGCTTCTCTTCTCTTTCTGTCCCTTCATAACGCTCACTTTTCTCCCCACAGTAAACGGACAGCCTCATCGGGGGGGCCTCTCCCCACCTCGACCAGCCTTATGGTCCAGACCTCGACTCGGTAAAAAGACTTGTTGTCTCTGTTTCATCATCATCATCATCATCATCATCATCTTCATCATTAACTTTCAGATGCTTCCACTTTCTTCCCCTGCAGCTCCTGGTAAACCTTTCTGTTTCCATCTGTTAATGCTTTAATGTTCATCCATCTTCATCCATCCTCTATCCGTCCTCTGTCCTTTATCATCCATCCATCCTCTGTCCTTTATCATCCATCCTCTGTCCCTTATCATCCATCCTCTGTCCTTTATCCTCCATCCTCTGTCCCTTATCATCCATCCTCTGTCCTTTATCATCCATCCTCTGTCCCTTATCATCCATCCTCTGTCCTTTATCCTCCATCCTCTGTCCCTTATCATCCATCCTCTTTCCTTTATCATCCATCCTCTGTCCTTTATCATCCATCCATCCTCTGTCCTTTATCCTCCATCCTCTGTCCCTTATCATCCATCCTCTGTCCTTTATCATCCATCCTCTGTCCTTTATCATCCATCCATCCTCTATCCTTTATCCTCCATCCTCTGTCCCTTATCATCCATCCTCTGTCCTTTATCCTCCATCCTCTGTCCCTTATCCTCCATCCTCTGTCCCTTATCATCCATCCTCTGTCCCTTATCATCCATCCTCTGTCCTTTATCATCCATCCTCTGTCCCTTATCATCCATCCTCTGTCCTCCATCCTCTGTCCCTTATCATCCATCCTCTGTCCTTTATCCTCCGTCCTTTATCCTCCATCCTCTGTCCCTTATCATCCATCCTCTGTCCTTTATCCTCCGTCCTTTATCCTCTATCCTCTGTCCCTTGTCATCCATCCTCTGTCCTTTATCATCCATCCTCTGTCCCTTATCATCCATCCTCTGTCCTCTATCCTCTGTCCCTTGTCATCCATCCTCTGTCCATTATCATCCATCCTCTGTCCTTTATCATCCATCCTCTGTCCTTTATCATCCATCCTCTGTCCGTGGGTCTGGGTCTTAGGGTGTCTTCTGTGTCTTCTGGGTCTTCTGTGTCTTTTGTGTCGTCTTTTGTCCTACATGTTTGTTGTCTGAACTCGAGCTTCTGCAGGATTTCAGTTTCAAACCATCTTGAGGACGTTTAGATGATTTGAGTTGGTTACATAAGTCCTGTAGCATGATGTCACTGTGCTCCGTGTGGTGGTGGTGGTGGGGGGGGGTCTGGATGTCTGGGTTGGAGCTTGTGGTCGGGGTTTCCAGTTGTTCTTCCAGGGGCAGACTGTTTTTATTTGACTGATGTTTCAGCAGATTCTTTTTGTTACACAACATTCAAAGGAAAACTTCATGAAAAATGATCAAACCCTCATTCAGCGCCTTGAAGCCTGACATGCTCTGACCACACCCCCCCCCCCCCCCTCTGTGTTCACAACAGGAGGGGATGGGGTCAATGGTCAGACTGAAGCACAGTATGCATGTGGTTGTGCCTGCTAGTCCTGAGCTTCAGGAGTCTCACTTACACTGATCAGGAAACCTGGAGGGCGAGTACAGGGAAGGTTAAGTGAAGCTAAGGTAAGTTGTAGGAAAGTAATGTCAGGTGAAGTGAAGGTGACGAGGGTCCCAGTCTGACCTGCTGCAGTCAACGACTCATTACTGCAGGAAAGTCCCAGTCTCTTGACATGTCCCACCGTAGAGGTAAAGCTTTGACCTCAGCTTGACTGCTGTGTGCTGATTGGCTCCTCAGCAGCTCTCCTGGTCATGTGAAGCGTCCAGAGGCGACCTGATGTTAGCTCACGTTGTAAAAAGCTTTGAGCTTTTTACAGTAGATGGTTTTGTTGTGTGATGAATCTGGACACATCAGCCAATCTTTAACATGTTTCTGCTTCACTTCCTGTCTGACTGCGAGCGTTGTAGGCGTGATGATGTCACACGCTGTTTGTTCAGTTTCAGGATTGTTTGTGTGAACACATAAAAATCATTCCAGTATGTATGTCATGTTCCCACTCTGCTTTGAGGCCTCTTAGTTCTGGAGCGACTCAGCTCTGTGATTAGGAAGAATTCGGGGAGGGGGGTAAATTGGCTCCAGACTGTGGACTTGAGTCTTTGTTGGTTCTATGAAAACAGACTCGAGTTACGCAGGATTGTTCATGTTTTCAGGTTCATCTGGAGTTTGGACACGGGTATCAGGTTGAGCTGGAGGAGAGAGAGAGGCAGATTAGAGAGTCTTCAGGTTCCAGGTCCCTGATCCTCTGTGACAGTCTGAGAAGCAGCAGCTGAAATGTCTTCTTTGTTCCAGGTTCCCTCCCTCGTCCGTCTGTACCAATCAGCAAGAGACCCAACCTGGTGGGGAAACCTGGAGACACAGGTCAGAGGTCACGCCCTTCTCTCAGCTCTCCAACTGTCTGCACACAGAACGTCACACTTTGGTTTTCTCCACCAGATAAAGTCAACAACTTGAAGCAGACGGACAAACTGCCCGTCCTGAAACCCAAAGTACCTCCAGCAACCGTCAAACCCACCAAACAGGAACGCAAGCAGACGAGCACCGCTGCCCCGACCACAGCCGGTACGACATGCTCTCACACTTCCTGTTGACATGCTCTCACACTTCCTGTTGACATGCTCTCACACTTCCTGTTGAATGCTCTCACACTTCCTGTTGACATACTCTCACACTTCCTGTTGACATGCTCTCACACTTCCTGTTGACATGCTCTCACACTTCCTGTTGACATGCTCTCACACTTCCTGTTGACATGCTCTCACACTTCCTGTTGACATGCTCTCACACTTCCTGTTGACATACTCTCTGCTCTCACACTTCCTGTTGACATGCTCTCACACTTCCTATTGACATACTCTCTGCTCTCACACTTCCTGTTGATATACTCTCTGCTCTCACACTTCCTGTTGACATGCTCTCACACTTCCTGTTGACATGCTCTCACACTTCCTGTTGACATGCTCTCTGCTCTCACACTTCCTGTTGACATGTTCTCACACTTCCTGTTGACATACTCTCTGCTCTCACACTTCCTGTTGACATGCTCTCACACTTCCTGTTGACATGCTCTCACACTTCCTGTTGACATGCTCTCACACTTCCTGTTGACATACTCCCTGCTCTCACACTTCCTGTTGACATACTCCCTGCTCTCACACTTCCTGTTGACATGCTCTCACACTTCCTGTTGACATGCTCTCTGCTCTCACACTTCCTGTTGACATTCTCTTACACTTCCTGTTGATATACTCTCTGCTCTCACACTTCCTGTTGACATGCTCTCACACTTCCTGTTGACATGCTCTCACACTTCCTGTTGACATGCTCTCTGCTCTCACACTTCCTGTTGACATGCTCTCACACTTCCTGTTGACATACTCTCACACTTCCTGTTGACCTGATCTTGTTTGTGTATCCAGGCGGTCGTCAGGAGACGTGGGAGGACTCAGAGCTCTTTCAGTCTCAGCCGACCTCTGATGTCGACGCTTTGGGAAAAAAGCGTTACGTTGGTGAGTGGATGCGGCGTTCACGTCGTTAAAGACGATGAAATAAAATGATGACTCATACTCGTCCTCGCTGTCCTCCTGCAGCTCCTCACGTCGTCTACCAAACAGGAAAGAAACCCGATGAGCCGTGCTCCATCACCTCGTCTCTCAACTACTTCCCTCAGGGCGAACGTGGCGACGCCAACGTGACGGCCCCGCCCAAGTCTCCGCCCTCTAACCTCACGGTGGTGACCGTGGAGGGATGTCCGTCCTTCATCATCCTGGACTGGGAGAAAACCGACAACGACACCACAGGTATGAAAACAATGAGACATGAGGATCTCTGTTTGGAAACGTTTGTTTATCTGAAGGGTGTGGCCTCTCCTCCTCAGAGTATGAAGTCATCTCCACCGCCAAAGGACCCGATGGTGAGCAGGTCTCCATCCTGACCACCAACCAGACTCACACGGCCGTGGAAAACCTCAAGCCTGAGAGCAGGTGAGTGTTGACTTCCTGTTAGCTCTTCAGTGTAACGCCTGCACGCTCCTCCGTCTCACAGAGCGCCGTCTGCTTCCTGCCCAGACGCCGCTCTGCTCATATCTCTCTCTCTGTGCTGATTGGTTCTTCAGCATTACATCATATCTCTCTCTCTGTGTGCTGATTGGTTCTTCAGAATGACGTCATATCTTTCTGTGTCTTTCCTTCAGCTATGAGTTTAAGGTGAAGCCAAAGAACGAGCTGGGCGAGGGTCCTCCCAGTGAGCCGGTCTCCTTCAGCACAGAGTCAGGTACTGAGGTTTGAAGAATAAACAAACAGACAACCAAACAAACAGTTCTGTTTGTGAGAATTCAAATGTTTTGTTTTGTTCATAGCGGACCCTCGGGTGAGCGAGAATGTGTCAGGTAAGACCCCTTAAACACCTGAGTGTCATCAGCGTACAGACGTTTCTATGAGAGCAGAGGAGTCATCACTTCCTTTCTCTGCAGGGAAAGACGCCATCTGGACGCAGTTTCCCTTCAAGACGGACTCGTACTCCGACTGTCACGGCAAACAGTACGTGAAGAGGACCTGGTACCGCAAGTTTGTGGGCGTGCAGCTGTGCAACTCGCTCAGGTACAAGATCTACCTGAGCGACTCGCTCACCGGTGAGTAACCTGCTGGTCAGCAGAGAGAATGCAGGCTGGAGGAGTGTTGGTCTTTTATTCTGAAAGTCTGTTTGTCACCTGTTCAGGTAAATTCCACAACATCGGAGATCAGACGGGCTTCGGGGAGGATCACTGTCAGTTCGTCGACTCATTCCTAGACGGACGGACGGGCCGACAGCTCCAAGCTGACCAGCTGCCCTCCAGACCAGGTATGCAGCCTCCTGATTGGTCGTTTAGAGTTGTTCTTGCAGACGAGGCGACTCGGGATAACTCTCCGTCTCTTCTGATCCAGGTTTTTATCGTGCCATTCGTCAGGAGCCCGTCCACTTTGGACAGATCGGAGGCCCCTCCCATATCAGCTACGTGTCATGGTATGAGTGTGGGACGCCGATCCCCGGGAAGTGGTGAGAGGACTGGTGGTCTTTGGGGGGGAGGAGGCCCTGCCCCCTCCTCAGTGCTGTAAAAACATGTAGAGGACAGACTGTCAGGGAGAAATATGTAAACATGCCTCATCTTAACTATTTATCAAACAACAGCAGGAAACATGGAGGCGTGTCCTCTCTGCAGAGGGGGCGTGGCTAACTTACCATACAGTGATTTTGTTTTGTTATAAAAGGGAAGCTGGCTCCCTGAAGACTATGTTCTTACCGTGTGAGATGTTTTATTTATCTGGTTATATTTCGACCGTCACAGAGTATTATGGGATGTGTTACAGGGTCAGACAGGTACCTGCTGCTTTTACCTGGACCTCACCTAAAGACGGGGCTGGTTCTCATGACGGGAAAATATTAAGCTGGCTTAGCTCTGGGTTAGCTCTCGTTAGCTCTCGTTAGCTCTGGGTTAGCTCTCGTTAGCTCTCGTTAGCTCTCGTTCGCTCTCGTTCGCTCTCGTTAGCTCTGGGTTAGCTCTCGTTAGCTTTCGTTAGCTCTCGTTAGCTCTGGGTTAGCTCTTGGTTAGCTCTCGTTAGCTTTCGTTAGCTCTCGTTAGCTCTGGGTTAGCTCTTGTTAGCTCTCGTTAGCGTTCGTTAGCTCTGGGTTAGCTCTTGGTTAGCTCTTGTTAGCTCAGGCTTGGCTCTCGTTAGCTCTCGTTAGCTCTGGGTTAGCTGTGGGTAAGCCCAGCTGCACGCCGCTGACCTGCACGCCGTTCTGATGCATCTGTGAGTTCAGTGTGGGGACTCTCTCACCTGAGTCTCGTCCTTTACCTCCTCATACACACCAGCACAAAGTCATGGACACGACAGAAAGATTAAGATTTACTTTATTGATCCCGCAAGGAGAAATTCTGTTTAAAACAGAAACAGAGAAGAAGAAGTGTAACGTTCGCTGTCGACCTCGTTGTTGACCACTGTTTTATTCTGCCATAAAGCACACAGGTGGTTAATGACAGGTGTGACTCTGAGTGGGTAGCTGAGTCTACAGGTGGCGCTGTAGACGCTCCGTGTGGGCATTATCTTCTTCTTCTTCTCTTCAGGGTTTGAGGATTGATGATCCATGTGTCGGTGTCTCAAAGCTGAAAAGTGCTTTCTGTCCGTTAATCTAACATCCTGGTCCTCACCTGACTTATTGTTCCCATAGCTAGCATGCTAAGTGGCTAATGGTCTCAGACCTATCAGGAGTTCTGTTCTTCATAAAGGTTAGAACGTGACTAACACATGAACACAAGCTACATGCTAATGCTAACTCTTCATTATCTCTCTTGTGTTTAAATTTGCTCTGAAGATTGTAAATAAAGTTTCTCCACGAGGCTGGATGAAGATGTTTTTATAAAAATGTTTTTATATTCAGTGTCAATAAAAACTTTTTTTTAAAAGTCTGTTTTAATTCCTGACGCACGTTTACATCAGTCATCATCATAAATCTGCTGAACGCGACCTGAGCTCACATGTTGCTGCCGCTCTGACTCCAGCAGGACGCAGATTTAACAAACTGTCCTTTAAGTCTCCAACCTTTTCATGGATTACATTACTTTTCCAGAACGTCATTTGGAGGTGGGGGTTTGCTGAGACTGCAGGTCGGAGCTGGGCTTTATGTGCTGTCGGCACGGCAACCGGTGGATAATTATAGTTGAAGGAAAAAACTCTGACAGATTTTTGACTCTGAGGAGTGATGTGATGTGGTGGGGGGGTGCCCATTATGTAACACGCCAACAACAGTCCAACTGGGAACCCATTCCACGGGGGGGGGGTTACTGCTGATGACTGACAGGTAGTCTCGATAGCCGAAGTTTAAATTCTAGTGAGAATCCTGCATGCCATCTGAGAGGCTGCAGAGGAGCGAGTGCTGCGGAGGAGCGAGTGCTGAAGAAGAGTGTGTGCTGTAGAAGAGCGAGTGCTGTAGAAGAGTGTGTGCTGTGGAAGAGCGAGTGCTGCGGAGGAGCGAGTGCTGTGGAAGAGTGTGTGCTGTAGAAGAG